TGTTCAGGGTTCTGGGAGCCGGTGTCACGAAATATATTCGCCCCCAGAATAAAATCTCCCCCCGGCGAATTTATACCGGTACAGTTCCGTCCCTCTCGAATTAAACTCTCCCCCACCCTACGAAATAAAATCCCCCCCCCCCCCCCAGAATATTTTCTCCCACGGTCGTTTTATAAATATAAAATAGGCATATAGGCGTTTTATAAATAGGCATTGCCTAAAAGTCGGCCGGGCCGGGCCGGGCCGGGCCGGGCCAAGACTGGCCAAAGTGTTATTGGCTAATTACTTCATTATCGGCGATCAAACCTACATATTATTGATGCAACATACACACTTGACATTACTGAACAAACACCAACCAAAAACGTGCACCATAATTAAGTAATTTCGGAGTAAATCACTTGAAAACCAGAAAGTCGAGCTGTGTGTAAGCGTCGCTGATCTAGGTACCATGTAAAAGATCAATCGTTAAACGAAATCAGATTTGAAACGTATCAAATTCTTCAAGCTATCGTGATACAAATTTCCATCTGTCGGCATACCGTTTATATTTATAGGAACGTACTATATCTAAGTAAATACCACTTCATAATGTCACTGTCCATCGTATTTAAAGCAGACACGTTGGTTAAAGTAGACCTCTTCTCCCCATACTCTCAACAGTCTTACAAGTGTTCGGTCCGACTTGGCCCGGGCTGTAAAAATCAACTTAAACCTCACAGATGTAACATGAAATGGATTCACACCTATAGAATAGTATTTTATCTACCTATATACCACTTTATAGTGTCTCAGATCACGGTATTTAAAGAAAACAAGGTGCTGAAAGTGAAGCCCTTTTCCCTCAACATAGTCTCTATCAGAAGTGTTTGGCTTGTGTTGGGTCCGACGCGGCCCGGGCTGTCAAAATTCACTTTAAACACATAGATGTATCATGAATTGTGTTTACATCTATAGACAAGCCAAATACTTCTGATAGAGACGATGTTTGACGCCTGGATGTTGGTCCGGTAGGCAAACGCAACGGGTTGAAGGAACTTGTCCGGGTCGTCATGTCCTTGTTAACCATCTTCATCAGCTGGGTGATCATGGTCTGGTTGAATCCTTCGGTGAGACCATTGGACTGGGGGTGATACGGGGACGTCGTGGCTTGGTCAGTAGCTAAAATGTCACAGAGTTCCTTCACAAGAAAATTGCAAAATTCCCTTCCCTGGTCCCGCAGGAGTACTTGACTTGTCCCGTATCTGTATACTAGCTGCATCAGAAACTGATGAATGCTGATGGCTGTCTTGTCTGGAAGTGCAGCAACCTCCACCCATCTTGTAAGGTACTCGGTGGCAACGATGATGTACCTGAACCCATCTACAGTTTCTTTAAGTGGTCCAATAAGGTCAATACCCTAGCGATGAAAAAGTTCCTTAACAGGGACAGGGTGTAAGCTTGCCACTTGGGGTCTGTTGTTGGGGTTCGCTTTCTTGCAAGCAGTGCGTCTATTCCTTCTTTGTAAATGATTTCGAACCACTGAGTTTCCTTAACGTACTTTCTGTACTCAATGACCCCACTTCTGAGCATCTCCACGACTTCCCACAACCAATGAGTGCCTGCAACAGGTACATGCGTTCAAATAAGATCAGATGACAAATCACATGTCTACAGAACAAGAAGCGAACCCACTTTGTCTAGGTCTCTCCATTCACCGCATTTTGGATACGCACAGAAAATGACATCATCGTCATTCAGCTCGATCTCTTGTATACTCTGAAGCCTCTTTTCAGCAGTTTCGCCCTTCAGCATAAAAGGCGGTGGGACAAACAGGTACAGGCCGTCGAACACCATGCAGTCAAAGCCATGACCCTTAGAGTTTCTCAGCTCGTGGACCCTGGAATACATCAAATCGTCATCACTATTCTCATTGTCATTGTCGTCGTTGGTCATAGCAATATGTATAATTGTTTATGCGAACATGTCTTCTAAATTCAAGAAGTTTAGTGATAAAATGTGCGGAGACCACAGCCAATTACATAAATGGCTTGAAAACAAGTCAGGTTGGTGAGAGAGGGTAATACAGGTTGTTATTCCAATTACATTGTCTCAGAAAGATTGCAGGTTTTGAATTGAACATGGATCAGAGGAAATCAGCTCAATATGTTTACAAGATGAGTAAACATAAAATGTTTGACAAATATATTTGCCCAATGGCATTTAAAGCATTGCAAGTCATAAACTGAAGCTCATCTTCAAAGGTGTTACAGTTACGTAATTCACACACTTGCAGTTCCACTTTGCTTTGTGTATCGAACCAAATGATTTGTTTCCTGTATGTTGCATCCTTTGTGTGGCTGCTGTTTCATGCTGCACTATTGCAGCTATGTGACTATGTGTAAATAATCGGGTATGGACCAGGAAATCCAGTGATTGAAATCATACACATTGATCTGCGCAACTGGAATACAATGACATGCATTAACCCTGAAGACCCGCTCCCGTTTGTCACCTCTTTCGACAAGCATGGATTGCATAAGACCAATTATTATTCTTCCGGATCTTCACAGGGGCGCCCATCTATGAGTGTCACCTGACACAATCAAGCATGTTCATGTATATATCTGTATAAACAAATTCATGAGTACGCTTCGTGACGACCCATGTGTACTTTTACAAAACCACGCCTGACATTACATACGAGAACGAAACTACTTCCCATCACCATGTTATACCAATATATAACACTACGATAAAATCACCACCACGTTCCTAGTTATTACTGTGTATAACTAGCGCAGCAAGACGACGACGAAATATACGTGTTGCCAGTCATAAATCACACTGACGGTGACACTGCATAATTATACGATGACCGAATGTAACAAAAGCACACACAGACCATCTTGGCTGAACTAAATAAGACCAACAAATGCATCAGTCAAGTAAAATCTCCAATGACCGCACACAGGATGAAAGTAGGCCACACATATAAGATGAACAAGCATCCAAGCGTGAACCATACACATTCGGGTTCACCAGTGTAAACTGCAACAAAACATCAAGTGCCCTGTTATATTACATTGGCATATTGAGATTATCATTATGGCTACACAACGCAGTATTGAAAAACAACTGGTTTGTAAAACAATGTTATGTCTATGTCCTTAACCAAGGTCACAGAATCTGATGTCAGTGGCAGGGATCTTGTCTTGTGTGTCTCGCAACATCTTGAATTACAAGTAACCATACGGATGTGTGGAAGGGGCAATATTGTATTAACGGGCATCACATGCGATTGCAATATTGGATCAATCAGTATTAAACACAACTTACATGGGAAGTACTTCACTGGTCTGGTCTGTGGTCATGGCTGTTTGATGTCTGATGCAACCAATGACGCTGTGTTTAGATGGATTTCGAAACCCTCAAAGCCCCTCGATGAGTTAAAGTATCATGGGTGCCAATGAATATGCGAGGGAATGAAAAGTATTTCAAGGTTGCACATGGCGAGGTCCAAGCCGAGGTAATGCTAAAGTCAAGCCTAATGGCAGGTCAAGCAGTTTTGATTCGAAACGAGTAAGCTTGTCTAGAGGTGAGCTAGTTAATTGGGATAATTGTGCCTCAACGTACCCTGAGGACGTGGATCTTTTATCATTTTATGGACATACATTTGTCTGGTCATGACCAGATAATTCACAGGCCACACTAAAAAAGCTGGAATATTGAAACGTAAGGTGAAAAAAACCCCAAACAAATGTAACAAACATTTCCAAGGTAATGTCCTTAAATCGGATAGTGGGTAGTTATTTATTCTACTGCCTAAGGGCTGTAGGTAGTACTTTCTTCAGCTGCATGAGGGCTGCACGTGGTCCTTTATTCTGCACGAGGCCTGCGGGTAGTCCTTTATTCTGCTGCTCGAGGGCTGCAGGTAGTACTTTCTTCAGCTGCATGAGGGCTGGGGGGTAGTCCTTTATTCTGCTGCTCGGGGTCTTTGCGTGATCCGTTATTCTGCTGCATGAGGGTACTTTCTTCAGCTGCATGAGGGATGTAGGTAGTCCGTTATTCTGCTGCATAAGGGCAGCAGATAGCCCTCTGTTGTACTGTTTCTTTGAGACAAGTAGTTCTCTATTCTACTGTAGAGCTACAGGTAGTCAGACAAACATGCACAATAAAAGTGTCATTTCCGTGTCCATGCAAATTATTATGTTCTATTTGATCTCTTTGTTGAAGAATACTCAGGAATCATTTAGTTCAACATAACACTGAAACAGGAATTGTTAACCAGTCAAGCGAAGGGCATTTACAATTTTAGTGCATCGGCCAAAGCTTACCTCCAGACTGGTGTCCCTAAGGTGTCTGTTTTGGGAGTGTGCTTTTCACTATTTTTACTTCTCCTCACAATGCGTCCTTCCCAGACTCGATAGCCTTGTGGTTAAGATATTCTCTTGCTACGCCGAAGACCCATGTTCGAAAACCCGAATGGCTTCAATGTGTAAAGCCTATTTCTGGTGTCCCTCGCCGTCATATTGCTAGAATATTGATAAAAGTGGCGTAAAACCATACTCACTCACTTACTCCTTCCCCAACGACACACTGTTATATCTGTCGTTTTAGCCTGTGAATGGTTTATTGACAAATTCAAATGTCTAATGCTGTATGGGCAACATCCAGAACTTAAAGAATCTGAACTTCATCAAACTCAACAATTGCATGACTGAATTACGTATTACATGATCCAAGTCAACAAGAAGCAGGCTGAACTCCCATTGCTCAGGATCAGGAATTGCTTAACCGATCAAGCAATGAGGTTCACTGAAGCTTTTATGTAGACACTCTCTTTTTATCCAGAGTCATGTAGTGCAGTCTCCAGCAGCACTTTCGAGTAGTTGATTTTAGCTGGATTCTGACGCTAAAATCTACTTCTTCTGCATACTGTTACCCAACACCGTGCCGTCATACGTGAACATTGTACTTCCCAACAATAAAACAATATAAATCAAAACAGGTCTAACATATTCCTGATCAGGCTTTTATTGGACCACCTCAAAACCGTTTATCTTTTATAACTGCAATATATTATCAAATACGGAAGGGTTTGGGGTCTTCCTCATCACAATGGAATGCCTCTTGGAATAGCTGATGAAAAGTTTCATCAGCACTTTGACAAACGATTATTCACCAATGTACAGTCTCACAATGTGTACATGAATTGGATGCCAGATCCCTTCATTTTGTCATTCCAAATGCGATCAAATTTCTCGTTCTCTGCAACCGTGAACCAGTTCTTCCAGTCCCCAACCTCACCTGAAATAGTATGCAAAATTCAACAAAACATTGAACATTAGTTTATTACCCTTTTTATGTCGGAACAGTATCGTAAGTTTCTAATGGGTAGGATTGCATTGACTTTACCGGTTGACTTTGTCTTTAGCGGTTTTTTTCAAATTTGCCAAGAATATTATATGTGATACACAAAATATATTTCTGTTCTCCATATGTTATGCTCGAGATATCACAATTTGGGGTTAAGAGGTACGTCCCTAAAACAAGCAAGAACCATAAGTCTAAGATTTGCCCCGATATGTTCGTCCGGTATGCCCGTGATCGTCGGTTTCACATTCACCAGAGTGTTTAATATCTAATGCCGAGTAAAACGAGAGTTGTGCAACACGGAAACCTTTTTGAGATTTGACACAACTGTTTGACCCAAGCATATAACATCAGGCTTTCTCCACTTCATGTCGGGCTTTCCTCCCACATAATGGTGATGCATCACTACGTCACCGAAATACTGTTCAATGCGGCAGTGAACTCAACCCACTTAATATCCCCATATTCGACGCACAGTTGTACTCGTACAGTCAATTCAAGTATTACCTTTCCTGTAAAAGGACCCCCCAGATCCTTCCTTCCAGAGTGACAAATGTATGTGCTTTTCCTCTTTGTCAAACTGCTTCATTTTATCAAAGCTGCACGCCTCGGCTATACCTTCACAGAATGTATCTGTTACAGTAATATTCAGGAATGTGGCAATGTCTTTTATACACCTGACAGGATTCTGCAAGGTAGAAATAATAAGTAGGGAGTGATATGTGTATACTGGGTACCAACCATTTTACACTTTGGGCAGGTTAGTGTGTTTAAGAGTGTGTGTTTGGGGGTGTATGCGTATATGCATGTGTATGTATGTGTGTAAATGTGTGTATGATTGACATTTAATGATAACAACAGATTAGTAACAAATTCAAAAAAAAATTTTTTCTAAAAGTCCCCAGCCAATCCGAAGCTTGGATCTTTTTTATTTCCAAACACATTCTTTCTCACACGTCAAACACCATACATACTATCACAACTTGCACAACGCTACCAACGAGACTCGTATGGAAACTGATACAAACAAAGTGTATCTTAAAAAAAGGAAGGAATTCAAACTGGAGGGTTTGAGTTGAGTTGTTTTTGTGTTAATGTTCTGCCCAAACGTGGAAAGAGAGTTTTTCGTCTAGTGAGGAGTAGTGTATGATCCAGCAGATTATCCAACTATTCTCACCACCTTCATGACCTCATAGTGCAGGGTGAGTACAGGTAGGTTCGGTTCTCTGGCTACTTCTTTCTGCCATGTCAGCAGGTAGTTGTGGTAGGATCCAAACGGCACTGAAAACATACCGGTTAATGGGAAGTGACAGGAGGTAAAACATTTTATTTTAAATAATCTTCGGCATCCATTCTGATCGCAACTTACATTTCCCCGACAAAAACGCCTCTGTGAACTCCACGAAGTCCCCGTCGTAGCCAATGGAAGGTAATATGTTCTTCTTGTGGTTGTAAAAAGACACACATACATCTTTAGGATTGCGCATGATCTGGATACACTTGACCTTCTTCTCCACGACCTGTGTAGGGAGCATGCGCAGAAGAAGATGTTTGTTCAGTATTCTGGGCTTTTGTAGAATGTCGATTCCCTCTTTTTGTATAAACTCTATCATTCGGGTCTCTTTCATCTCCTTCTTATACTGAATGGTTCCACTTTTGAGCATCTCACTAACCTCCCACAGCCAGTGGGTTCCTGTCAAAAGAGGAAAAAAGAAAAAGTGGAATGAGAAGGCTGGTTGGGAAGGCAGATGATCCTAAGATGGCACTTTTCTGTTGTTAGTTCACATTATGAAAAGGTTAACTTTAATACTTTGAATAATGCCAACATAATGTTCGGTTTCTCATGACGGAAACGACAGGTAATCCTATGCTGCCCTACATGAAAAGTTTGTAGTTGTTGCCACTGACAAGGCATCAAATAACATAACAATTATATGTAAGCATCGTTACATTAATTATTTGATCAAAGAACTTGGTATAAATGACGTAGAAATGACATGTCAAATAATGCCACATATACTGAACAGATAAAGAAACGTCGTGTTTTTGGATTATTAGGCCATAATTGTGCATGATCAAAATTGTATTTTGTCTTCATGAATATGTTTTTTAGACTTTAAAAAAAGCCAGTTTATGACATTCAACTGATAATACCGGTTGCGTTCAGTGTAACAGTTGTGAACCTTGGGAACTGTGAGATGCCCGTGGGAGCAAGTTGCAAGTGATGCACAGGAAAATTGAAATGCACGTGAAACATGTGCCAGGGTTCTGTATAAGAACCACCTGACACCTACTGAGAATTCAGTTGCTTTGTGAAGACAGCGACCATGCCACGACTATCCTCCCTACAACGTGAACAAGCCATCGGACGATCAAATGTCGGACAACGTACCAAAGTCATTGCCAATGCTTTTAACTGCAGTGTACGAACCATTGAAAGACTTCGGATTCGTTACAACACCAACAACAGACCCGTGGGGAGGACCAAGCATTATGGTATGGGGTGCAATCGGCATCAATCAGAAACTTGGACCTGTTGTCTTCCAGAATATTGGCCCAGGCCATGGAGTCACAGCCGCCCGTTACATCGACCAGGTTCTCCGATCCCACGTTGTACCTCATTTTGCAAGACTCCGAAACCACACCTTCCAGCTTGACAACGCCCGTCCACACACTGCCATAGCCACCAGGACCTTCCTCCAACAGCATAACATCAGAGTAATGCCATGGCCTTCACTCAGCCCGGACTTAAACCCAATTGAACACTTGTGGGATGACATCCAAAGACGACTAAACCAGATCCAACCGCGTCCAAGAAATGCAGCAGAACTCAGTGCAGCTTTCCTCAGGGTCTGGGCGCAGATTCCAATGGCGTCTGTAAACCGTTTGTGCCACTCCATGTACAGAAGATGCCGGGCCGTTATCAACGCCAAAAGTGGTTGTTTTCTGACAATTATTTTTTGCATTATTGACGTTTAAATAAACAGTTCACAATTTTCTGTTTTCTTGCAACGTTTCTTAATCTGTTCAGTATATAAGGCCAGTATATTAACTGAGGAAGAAATCTGCCAAAACCAGTATTGTCAACGTTTGACAATCTCCTTAAAAATCCTTACAAATATATTGCTGGGTCCAGCAAATGTACCACCAAATCCCTATCTCAAAGACTAACAATAATCCTTAATGCAATCAAGGAAGGACTTTCTGTATATTCAATACAAAAATGTTAAAAATGAAAGCAAATGCCATCTGAAGTTTACTGAGAAAACAATATGTGAAATGCTGGACTTCCTGATAGGGGGTAAGACATTAAGGCAAGCAGTAGGCATCCCAATGGGCACCAATTGTGCTCCACTTCTTGCAGATCTGTTTCTGTATGCATATGAATCTGAATTTCTGTTTGGATTGTCAAAAGTCAAAACTAGGTAATGTGGCCATGAAGTTCAACTTATGGTTCAGATATATCAATGATCTGATAGCGTTCAATGACAATCAAATAGCCAATTCCCTTCAGTACCAACCTGAACTAGAAATAAAGAACACCAGTGAGACCGTCTCGTCTGTTTCATATTTAGATCTATGCATAACGATTCAGAAATCCAAAACACTCTCCACAAGACTGTATGAGAAGAGGGGGGACTTCAAATTTCCAATAGCCAACTTTCCATTCATGTCGAGCAAAATTTCAGCAGCTCAATTCTTTGGTGTTTACATTCACAACTTTTGAGATACAGTCGAGCATGTTGGTTCTGCCAAGATTTCAAAGAGCGCCAAACAACTCTTGCTCAGAAGTTGTTTGATCAAGGTTACAACATTCAAGGACTCAGTAAAGCTTTCAAAAAGTTTAATGGTAGACATGTTAAGGACATTTCCAAATGTGACGCATGAGTGACAAAAATAATGTCCGATGCAATTCCCTGTTTTAACTAGTAACATATGTAACCGTGTTTTTTTCAGGGGAACAGTTGACTTTCCCTTGCATGTGTTTGTGACTTGTGCCAGCGGTGGGGCAGGATACGCTCGACTTTTCGCGAACACCTGGTATCCTTACTGTTTGGTTGTGATTCATAAACACATGCTCATGATATAGTCGGAATAGTACAATCCACTCTGCTTTATGCAGAGATTTCTATTGGTAAGGGTTTTGTCACTTTATGTATTGTTACTTTTTCACATGTTGTCGGTGTTAATAATGACACATTATTGTCACACATGTCATGGCGTCATAAAGGGAATGGTCCGGCCTACAGTTTCATATTCCAGTGGGGAGTGTAAATACTGGAAAACTAATTTTGATTCAGGTTTTGTAAACTTTAACAAATGTTCGCCTGATTGGCCGCATGTCTGGAAAAATATTGTTCCTCTCCAACACTCTAAATAAAAAAATGTATGTATTTGAAACAGTGACCGAAAAACTCGGACAAACAATGAGACGTGCACCTCGGGTTATGTTATACATATATTTAATGTTGATATATATTATAGGTGACTCACTCCGTAAACTATATTCATGTGTGCGTGTAAGTTTACGTAAGCTACATGGTATTGACGTTAGTTATGTCATATTCGTACAGTGTTAAGATATAACTAGATAGCTAGATGTCACAATACCACATTTGGCATATGCACATATGATGATGTCATCCTCTTCCATTGTGCATTCTTTTAGACGTTTGAATTCTTCGACTGGATTTTTCCCCTTGGATATTTGACGAGGCCACAAACTCCAATATATACCCTCGTACTGATAACACTTAAAGCCATGGCCCTTAGAGTTGTTGAGATCCACCAACGCAATCTCGGGAGCAAACACACTTTCTGGCCCTGGGTCGGATCTGTGAACAAAGCACGAGTCTTGTTTATTTCTTTGTGTTCAATGACACTATCAATAAGTCACTGAGGTTATCCCGTATAGTCAGAAATCCATGATCGTTGGTTCGAATCTGAGAATGACACTGGTTATTTCTCCTGGTATAACACCACCACACCCATGGCCACGAGTTTTGCCAAAGTAGTAAACCTCTAAGACCTGCCTCACTTCCGGATGTCCTCCCACGCTGTGACTAAACTACTTTTCAAAGCAAAGTTAAACCAAACTCTTATGTAGACCTGTCTTATCTATACAGAGTTTCTCTGTCTCATCTGTAGCAAGTCATCCCCAAAGGAATCATGGAAAGAATGGCATTCATGTACATGAGTATACATTATCCGGAGAAGTGGCTGGAATACGATGTGAAACTATGCTATATCATTTTACTGTGTCTAAAAGTAAGTGTTCCATTATTCATTTCCATTAGCATATATCTATAAAATATTCTTCGGCCTACTCTCCGGCACACTGAATACTAACCATGTTATACAGGGATGTGGGAAGTGACTGGATCAGTGTTGGTGGCTGATACATTTATCTACATAAATACAAATGGAACAAATGTCATCTTAAGAAGAAAGATGCAGCCATATACTGCATTCTGACAATTTCTACTCCGGATACACAGACATCTGACAACGGAAATAATATTCCCTTTTCCCGCACGCCTCATGTCACACGCGATTGATACAACAGACTGAGTGAGAACAGACACGTGGACATATATATATATATATATATATATATATATATATATGTGAGTGAGTGAGTGAGTGAGTATGGTTTTACCCCCCTTTTAGCAATATTCCAGCAATATCACGGCGGGGAACACCAGAAATGGGCTTCACACATTGTACCCATGTCGGGAATCGAACCCGGGTCTTCGGCGTGACGAGCGAACGCTTTAACCACTAGGCTACCCGACCGCCCCTACATATATATGTGACGTAACATACAAGTTATAGAGAAGAAGAAGAAGAAAATTATTTTATTTACGTGTCACACACTGTACAACAATGACAATAAAAATACGCAAATAGTGTGTACAGTGTCCGGCCATAATGGCCTACGAGACACACAGGACGTCACATACATATGAGTAAAAATGAGAAATATCACAGTACATACATATACATTAAAATGAGTTATCACCAGTTATCACCAGTTATCAGAACATTCTGATACTAAGAAATAAAATACATTGAACTAAGTTGGTAGAGACGAAAGACACAGTAAAGAAGAAGCGCGGCTAGGGGTCGAACCACCCTATTGTTCCGCATAAAGAGTGAGTGAGTTAGTGAGTATGGTTTTACGCCGCTTTTAGCAATATTCCAGCAATATCACGGCGGGGGCCACCAGAAATGGGCTTCACACATTGTACCCATGTCTGGAATCGAACCCAGGTCTTCGGCGTGGCGAGCGAATCCGCATAAAGAACACGGTCTGATCGGCAGCGGACATCTGTATAAAGTTTGGAGTTGATTGAGAAGCTAAATTCCATAAATCATAGCGTAAATCTGTAAAGAGAGAACATTCAGCAAAAAGTTAAAGTCACAATTACAAACATGTTCTGTCTTCAGCCTACCTTGGACTCTCTTTCTGCAAGGCCATAGTGTCGTCTCCTAAAGTCAGCTGCAAACACAAACTAATTTTTACTTTAAGAATCAGGCGTCTGTGGTTAGTACCGTGTATGAATATCCCAACATATATAACAATGTGACAGACTGTGTTGTGGCCTGCGGTGTGTATCGCAACTGAATCTAGCGTGACACATACATATTTAACATTGTGACAGTCTGTGTTGTGGTCGTATCGTGTGTATCGTAATTGAATCTTTTCTTTTAAAATGACTGCCTGTATTGCATATAATGCTATAGTTTGGATACATGATCGCGTGGTTAATGAGTCTTAATGAATGCGATGACACATCAATTGTACAATACAAGCAGTGTGGGATACGTGAATGTAGAACGTCTATTCAACACATGACCTGACCTGGTTTCTACCGCTTGGTATACACTCACATGCTGTACTGCGTTGCCCTGTGACTTGTGGTGATCGGGTGTGCATGCAGTCAACCTTACAAAGGGAAATAGTACTGTCAGCTCTGACTGACTGGCCGTGTTGGATGCGCAATGGTAACTCTCCCGTTTCACAAACACCTGCTCTCGCTACTGTACCTTTTCCATGAGAATATATGAGTCATATCGTCTTGTCTTGTTTCTATCAAGTTTAACTGCTTTTTAGTGTTGGAAACACAGTTAGTAATAGCATTTTGTGTTTTATGCTGCAGCCAGCAATATTACAGCTATATTACCACCGGCTGTAAAATATCAATCAGGACTAGCTAAACCTGGTGGGACGAGGGCGAGGGCTTTGGTAGGAGTGGGGTTTGGGGGTTGGATAACCACCATTTGCGTTGATACAGACGAGGCCCTGGAAGAATACTCAAAAGAAGGACATTGTGTTTCCATGAAAATGTCTGGCAACTTCGTTTTGCGCCATTCCTGTTTGCAGTCTACCAATGGCAGATAGACGGTGATCTTCAGCCAGTCATGAGCTACACTATCATTGTGTGCTGTTCACATTAAAAATCATGCTCCCGACAAACACGTTAAGATCCAAATTGTGCTCCGTGTATAAACACGCAGGTGCAAATTGTGACTCATGAACTAAAAGTCGAGCAGATTTCATTCATGAATACACTCTCTCAAAAAAGAAACGCAACCCCTATATTTTCAAGATGTTTATCTCAATATTCAAGTTATTAGAACACATTTATTATTGAAGACAACAATATGAAATTTGGCATGGTGGCAGTACAGTTATACAAGTTTAAGTCAAGACTTCGACAGTTCTCTCACTAAGATTGATTGGACGCAAGGGGGCGTATTTCTCAGTACCTCGTATGAGCGCCACGAGCTGCGATCACAGCATTACACCTCCTAAAGTAGTCACGGAAATGACGGAAATTTTTTCGACCTCAGATCTTAAATGAATGAAGTTAATATACAAAATATAAAAATATTCAAACAACTAAATTAGTACTAATTGGGCCGTGGCACAAATACAACGTATCAAATGTGTTTATGCCTTTTTACACACTTTTACGTGTAAAAATGTGAATAAAACAGACTATTGTGAAACAGGGCATAACCAGGTGGAAGTAGATGAAGGTGACCTATGACACCTTGACGACAGGTGAGAACAGGTGCATAATGCCTATAGTCTGTTTCTACTTTGTCAATTTGGACTTAGTTTTATTTATGAATGTTGAAAGTGCCTACAAATTACCTCCTGTAAAGTACATTTTGTATTGTTCACTGAGATCACACTAGCAAATCCAGACTAGTACTTTTCGAGTTGTTTTGTTATTTCGTATTTACAGCTACGTAACACTTTGTGTCGATTTTTAAATTGAAAAAAGGGGCGGTCGGGTAGCCTAGTGGTTAAAGCGTTCGCTCGTCACGCCGAAGACCCGGGTTCGATTCCCGACATGGGTACAATGTGTGAAGCCCATTTCTGGTGTCCCCCGCCGTGATATTGCTGGAATATTGCTAAAAGCGGCGTAAAACCAAACTCAGTCAGTCAGTCAGTAAATTGAGAAAAACAGTTCTTTTTCATTTCCGTGAGTACTTTAGGAACAGAACGGATTAGACGCCGGATTCTTTCCTGAGGGATTGCTCTCCACTCCTGCAGTGCAACGGCTAGTGCATCCAACGTCTGCGGCGGCGGTGTACCTGTGCACCTGGCACCTGTGTTGCAGTGACGGTAGGTGTGGCTAGCCGATTACGTAGGTCGGTGACCTGGATGAATCGATCCTGAGGTGGTGTGGTAACCCTTGGCCTACCACTTCTGGGGCGATCTTCAATTGCATGAAACTTGGTGCATCGGCTCCAAAGTCGTGAAATCGTTGTTTTATGAACATTGAGGTGCCGGGCAACGTTTCCAAAGCTTTGTCCGGCCTCAGTTCGACCAATGGCGATATTTCTATCTGCAGCACTCAACCGTGGCATATTCGACCTTGTCTTTCGGTGAAAAAGATGAATCGCTAATTAACACGTGCTTTTATAAACCCATACTTCTACTGCTCTTTCCATGAATTGCACGTGCATGAGGCTTTTGGCATGGGCCACGTGAAAATTTTGCTCACTATGATAAAAGTAACAATAAAATGCCCTTGTGCACGAAAATTGGTGTGTTTGGGCGCTTACGTTAATAAACAGTGTACATGGTATAAGTGTCTATCAGAAAAATTGTATTTACAATCAATATTTTTCTTCTTGGGGTTTTCTCACATTTTCAGACTGGGGTTGCGTTTCTTTTTGGAGAGAGTGTATGTAATAAAAGATGCATTATTTGTTTTCAGAATAATTGTTTTATGGGACGAAAACCAAAAAATTACTAGAATTTGTACTTAACCATGAAAGTGTTATCCCAAATTTAACATTTGTTACATTTGACCACTGGCTTAGTGGCAGTGTGTATTCATGTAAATATTAATCGTCATTGCAAGATAATAACCAGCGAAACAGATATCACTTAGCAAATAGCTGTGGAATTCGAAGTTATATGAATGGACAACTGGAAATCAGTGATGACACCAGGTGTTCGCGAAAAGGGTAAGCATGTCCTGCCCTACCGGTAGCACCCGCCATTTATACAATTTGCATAAACAAAGTTAGTATTTATTGCCTGACGCAGCACAGCAGTACTCCTGCCATGCGACGTCAGCCTGTAAACAAACCAGACAGTGATCAATGAAACAGAAAATCCAGCGCCACTGCAGGTTTGCTTGGCATGTATTAATGCAGAGTTAGCTCCCCTTGAAAGGCTCGCCTGTCTTTAGATGCTCGCTTGGGTTTCGCGCGCGTTTCGAGGGTTGCCAATAAATGTGACGAAGTGTTTACCTGTGTCCTGTCGATGTGTGACAAGTGTTTATTTCCTCCTAACCTAACTGGCGCAGTGACTCGTGAAACCATTTCGGATATTGTTGAAACTTCTGCTGCTCAAGGGCTGCGGGTAGTTCTTTATTCGCTGCTGCACAAGGTCTTTGTGTGATCCGTTATTCTGCTGCATGAGGGCTCTGGGTAGTCCGTTATTCTGCTTCATGAGGGCAGGAGATAGCCCTCTGATGTACTGTTTCATGGCGACAAGTAGTTCTCTATTCTACTGTAGAGCTACAGGTAGTCAGACAAACATGCACAATAAAAGTATCATTTCCGGGTGCTTGCAAATTATAATGTTCTATTTGATCTCTTTGTTGAAGATTACTTAGGACTCATTTAGTTCAACATAACACTGAAACAGGAATTGTTAACCAGTCAAGCGAAGGGCATTTACAATGTTAGTGCATCGGGCAAAGCTCATTTCCTGACTATTGTCCCTCGGGTCTCTGTATTGGGAATGTGCTTTTCACTATTTTCACTTCTCCTCACAATGCGTCCTTCCCAGACGGGATAGCCTAGTGTTTAAGGCATTCTCTTGCTACGCCGAAGACCCAGGTTTGAATACCCACATGGCTTCAATGTGTAAAGCCCATTTCCGGTGTCCCTCACCGTGATATTGCTGGAATATTGCTAAAAGTGGCGTAAAACATACTCACGCATTTACTCCTTAGCAGACGACGCACTGTTATATCTGTCGTTTTAGCCTGTGAATGGTCTATTGACAAATTCAACTGTCTAATGCTGTATGGGCAACATCCAGAACTTAAAGAATCTGAACTTCATCAAACTCAACAATGGCATGACTGAATTACGTATTACATGATCCAAGTCAACAAGCAGCAGGCTGGAGTCCCAGTGCTCAGGATCAGGAATTGCTTAACCGATCAAGCAATGAGGCTCACTGAAGCTTTTATGTAGACACTCTCTTTTTATCCAGAGTCATGTAGTGCAGTCACCAGCAGCACTTTCGAGTAGTTGATTTTAGCTGGATTCTGACGCAACATAAATCGTCTTCTTCTGCATACTGTTACCCAACACCGTGCCGTCATACGTAAACGTTGTACTTCCCAACAACAAAACAATATAAATCAAAACAGGTCTAACATATTCCTGATCAGGCTTTTATTGGACAACCTCAAAACCGTTTATCTTTTATAACTGCAATATATTATCAAATACGGAAGGGTTTTGGGTCTTCCTCACCACAATTGAATGCCACTTAGATTAGCTGATGAAAAGTTTCATCAGCACTTTGACAAACGATTCACCAATGTAGAGTCTCACAATGTGTACATGAATTGGATGCCAGATCCCTTCATTTTGTCATTCCAAATGCGATCAAATTTCTCGTTCTCTGCAACCGTGAACCAGTTCTTCCAGTCCCCAACCTCACCTGAAATAGTATGCAAAATTCAACAAAACCTTGAACATTAGTTTATTACCCTTTTTATGTCGGAACAGTATCGTAAGTTTCTAATGGGGAGGATTGCATTGACTTTACCGGTTGACTTTGTCTTTAGCGTTTTTTTCAAATCTGCAAAGAATATTATATGTGATACACAAAATATATTTCTGTTCTCCATATGTTATGCTCGAGATATCACAATTCAGTATGCTCGTGATCGTCGGTTTCACATTCACCAGAGTGTTAAATATCTAATGCCGAGTAAAACGAGAGTTGGGCAACACGGAAACCTTTTTGAGACTTGAGACAACTGTTTGACCCAAGCATATAACATCAGGCTTTCTCCACTTCATGTCGGGCTTTCCTCCCACATAATGGTGATGCATCACTACGTCACCGAAATACTGTTTAATGCAGCAGTGAACTCAACCCACTTAATATCCCCATATTCGACGCACAGTTGTACTCGCACAGTCAATTCAAGTATTACCTTTCCTGTAAAAGGACCCCCCAGATCCTTCCTTCCAGAGTGACAAATGCATGTGCTTTTCCTCTTTGTCAAACTGCTTCATTTTATCAAAGCTGCACGCCTCGGCTATACCTTCACAGAATGTATCTGTTACAGTAATATTCAGGAATGTGGCAATGTCTTTTATACACCTGACAGGATTCTGCAAGGTAGAAATAATAAGTAGGGAGTGATATGTGTATCCTGGGGACCAACCATTTTACACTTTGGGCAGGTTAGTGTGTTTAAGAGTGTGTGTTTGGGGGTGTATGCGTATGTGCATGTGTATGTATGTATGTAAAATGTGTGTATGA